TTGTTTATTATGCTCCAATATAATTACCAAAAAAAAAAGAAAAAAGAAAATTCACAAAACTTTTTTTAATGGTTCTCAGGAGAATATAGATAATTTATCCGTTCAATGTTTTTGTTTAGTGTAATCAATTAGACAATTATATTAATTATATTATATATAATTATATAAATAGTAAAGACAATTATATTGTTTAAAAAAGATTTCTATTTTTAAACAACTTTTTAATCCTGAAGTCCTGAAAAAATTATCACAGTATCGCAGGTATCACAGACTATAAAATATCACAGTATCACAGGTTATAAAATAACTATTAAGTTTCTAACATTGATAATAAATCAGTACATTAGAATGATTTTGAAGGATCATGTGACACTGAAGACTGGAGTAATGACGGATGAAAATTCAGCTTTGCATCACAGAAATAGACTATATTTTAAAGTGTAGTAAAATATAAAACCATTATTTTAAATTGTAATAATATTACTGTTTTATATTACAATATTACTGTTTTTTCAGTATTTTTGATCAAATGAAAGCAGCCTTGATGAGCCTAAGAGACATCTTATAAAAACATTAATAATAGTAACTTTTGACCGGTACTGTATAAATAAAAATATACAAAATTTAAAATGAAAGGTTGTATAAATAAAAAAGTTAGGAATCATATTTGCTTTTTTATTGGGGTTGGGGGCCTCCATCATGAATTTTACCTAGGGCCACCAATTGTCTAGAACCGGCCTTGCAGGCGAGGGCAGGTGCGTGTTTAATTTGCTGGAACTGCTGCGCTGCAGTGTCAGAGAGAACAACTTGTTCAGTGACTCTGACGTGACTCTTCAGGGTTTCCTGTAAATCTGCAGTTTTCTGGGCGTAATTTTTTCCACCCACAGGTGACAGAAGTTAAATACTCCCAACACTGATCTGAGATCATGTATTGTTGTGGGTGACTTAGTGCAGCTGTACGACTTTGTAAAGGGTATTGGCCTTGAGCGGATATCACTTGAACCAGAAAAACAACTGAAGGTTTTGCAAGTTGAGCTTTGTTTTGACAAACTACGTGACCATCAGCATTCAGCATACAAGTGGAACAATGCTTCCATGTCTGTCATGCATGTATTATCATCAGTACTACAGATTCAAATGTCATCCACATACAGAATATAGTTGATTGTCTATCCCATTTGACTAAAGTTGCTTTTAGGGCCTGATGGTAAACTGTGGGACTATTATGGAGCCCTTGAGGCAATCTTTTCCATGTGTGTTTTTGCCATTTCATGTGAAAGCAAACCAATCCTTACAGGCTTTATGAATGTACAATGACCAAAATCTACTGGATGTGTCTAATACAGAAAAAATTGTAGTATCAGCTGGTACACAGGAGAAAATAGTAGAAGGGTCAGCCACTAATGGTGTCATTTTATCAACATACTTGTTCACCTCTCTGTAATCAATTATCAGCCTCCATTTACCATTTGGTTTCTTTAAGGCCGGGACACACCAAGTCGACTTCACAGAAGTCATCTCGCATGGGCTGTATCTGGACCAAAAAGCTGCGCTTGAACACACGGCACAGACTACAGCCAACTGCAAACTAACATGTGCGTTCTGCGCTGGCATGTAAGGAATTAACTGTCTATATCAGCCGGTATCAATAGTCTATATTCACCATTCAAAAGAATACAAGATATACACAGATATATGAAACGTAAAAAAGCAGCACTTGCTTACCATTTTGAATAGCAGTTCTGTTGATAACTAACTTAATTTTAAGCGGCTTTAAAATAGGCTACAAACAGACTTCTGTCTGTGCCATCTTGACTTGCTTGCTCGTTTTCATCACTTTCACTTAATTCTCATGCACTGACTCTTTTGCTAAACTGAACATCCAATCAGAGTTCTCAATATCACACTGCAGAAACTAGCCTGACAGATGCTCGCCGACAGCCTGACGTCTGCTTGGTGTGTCCCGACCTTTACAGGCCACATTGGTGAGTTGCTGCTGGAGGATTTTTAAATTTTTATATTTTTTTTATTATTCTGTTTTTCCTAATTTAACTCTACCTCAGCTTCCTTTCCCAATGGATATTGGGAAATACAAGGGGGAACTTTACCAGTGAATCACACAGGATTCATTTTTATGAGGCCACACTCTCTCTGAGTGGTCGACCAAGTAGAATGCTCTGGGTCCAGAACACTCTCCTCAGTAACCGTGTTTTCCTCAACAGGGGCGATCTGTCTCGGCCAGATTAATCAGTTCCTCTACAGCTGCAGACTCCCTGGAAGTCTACACAGTATGTCAAGGCCAAGTAGAGGCTGTGAGACTGGCCCAACCTACAATGCAGCTAATACAACCACACCCTCAAAGGTTATCATAATTGGTTTGGTTTTTCTCAGCATAGCAACATTACCTGTAGCACTGCCCTCTCCTGTGTAACAGGAAATACAAGATTATCAGGTATTGCCGTAATCTCAGCCCTTGTGTCAATTAAGAAATCAATTTTATGCCTGTCAATCCAAGCTATAGCATAAAACCCATTAGGACGGTAGTCAATTACAGTTTACGTGCCCCCCAGGGCACGGAGGGAACAGCATTCTAGTATTTAAGCACCATTTTCTTTCTCTTCCTTAATTGTGGTAATTTGTTCTCCCATATATAACTATACCGGTATTTGCAACTTTTTCTTTTTATTATCGTGTATTTATATTGCTTAAACTATACCGTGGCCTTATGCATGAACAGATATACTAGGGCTGTCATGTTTTTAATTAATTGTTTTTTTTTAATCATAGTAGCCTAGAGGTTAAAGTCCGTCTGTCACAAATGAACAGTATTTTACAGTGGGGACACAAAGATGTGAAAATCAGTCTAGTGAAACAAAACATC